TCCCATAACCGACCGAATTCACTCCAGTACCTGGATCATGGAAAGAAAATAGGGTACTGCTGTTGCCTAGAGATTGTGCCAACCCTTCAACAAGGGGTTTAACGTAGTCAGAAGATGGCTCTGAACTGCGTTGCAAATCAGGCTCCATTGACATCCTAGCAAGATAGCGTCCGAGGTCCGAGTAGTCGTTCCGACAGTTACCGTAATCATCATATCCAACATACTCTGTGATCATACGAACTAGGAGATTGGGGAAGTTTATCAGATTCGGCTTGCGAGGTGTCGACGCTGACTGGATTGGGAGTTGATGAGGACCTTGCGTAGTCTCCGGTATTTTAAGCATTTGATACAACTGCAAAAGTTGGAAGTCGAATGACATCTGGGGGCCCTTTGTTTCTTTTGAGATCTTATAGTTGACAGTATAAAGCTGTTTTCCTTTCCCTTCAAGGATTGATCTCGTAATAGGAAAGCCGACGCGAAGGATGCCCGTTGCAATCTTGCGGAAATTGCCACCAAAAGGCCGGTACCAACGCTCCATCTCTCGCGGTAAAACTCGCCAATCCGGTACCCAAGAAGGCCAATCCATCGGTGGAGACGAGTATTGACGCTTGAAAAGGGCTTCCCAAATCAAGTTCGCGGTATTTGCTTGCGTCAGATAAGCAAGAGCGAAGGCCTCGTAGGTTTCTTTTATACCCAGCGAATAATCGATGTCTATGCGGATTCGATCATCTTCCGTATTGTTGGATAAATCCTCAAGGTGAGTACCGTCTGTTCCCCCTGGGTTTCCAGTAGGTTTTACATCATTGGCCATGCTACACAAGGCGAATATGCGATCCCGTGGATCAGTGCATTCGTACAACACAAATTTCTTCAGCAAGCCAAAAATCCGAGTTTCGTCCATGATATGCCTCTCTTTTTGAGTAACCTTCTCGCGAAAGAGCGAATAGAGATTCCAAAGTCCCCCAATCTCCACAATGGCTTCCAGCTCTGCCATGTAACTAGGCTCGCACCCTAGACCCCGAGGTTTTATGACTGACAGCGCAGAGACAAGTCGGGAAAATGGAAGTTCCGTCTTGCCACAGATTAAGCAGACCTCTAGATTGAAGACGACTTCTTGCACAATCCAGAGTCTGTTAAACCACGGAAGATTGAGAAATTTCAGGACCGTACTGAGATCGTCGTATGATTTGCCCGCTTTGGTCTTGGAAAGTCGAGAAAGGCGGTCCAATAGTCTCATGCCTTTCTGCTCGACTGTAGTATCTCCGCCGGGATCAAGCCAAGCCATTACCTTTCTCGCACCTCTGAAGATTTGGACCATCAAAGGGATTTGGATCGCCTTTTCGTCGTTATCGTTTTGATTGATACACGCAGCATCAGCCCAAAGCAATCGTTCGCGCTCATTGTAGCGCAAGTATCGCAGAGCTTTGTCAAGGTTTCTTGTAACGCACACTTGCGTACCATCGTCGACATGTAGCGCGAAAGATAGGATAGGTTCACCCCAGGTGTAGGATATAGCGTCGTAACGTCCTTCAAAATCTTCGAGTGTCGATGACTGAAAGCTGATCTTTAGTGGTGCGTCATCTGATGAGGCTGGGTGCAAGACGATCAGCCTTATGTAGTTGAAGCCTTCGAGTGCTTTATACACATGTGTACTCATGATCGGAAGGGCTCATGAATTAGATGATGGCTGAATGGGAGCCATGTAACGTAGTACAAGAGAGAGGAACTGAGAGGGGGGATATGAAAGAAGTGACAGCTGAGCTGGCTGCAGCTCTTCGTTCTAGGTGGTCTAGTGCAGCGAGGCTGAGTGAGGGGAATACCTGATCCAATCATCGACGAGCCTTGTCAGATCACCTTGCATCTTCCCGGTTCTAGAGCGATAAGTGATACACATGATGAGTGTGGACTGCCGCACTTACATCTTGATATAGTAGAGGTGCGCGGAAGCTGACTTCGTTTTGGTTCATGACAGGCAACATGAGCTCCTTCTCAGCAAGGCTCGCGACTTCCTGCCACTCGCTGACATGCCTTCCCCAACGATTGGTCCACTCTACATTGCAGTTATCCTTGCCCTAGTCACTCAAGTCGACTACTCCTCATTCACACTCATAACCAGTCTCTGATTCAAAAACAGCATAGCCAAACATGTCAAAATCATTGCTTTACATTCCTTTTTGTTGTGCGCACCCACAATCGGATAAAAGGACAACCTACCGCAAGGGGTATTGAACCTAAAAGGAAACCCGTAAACTCATAGCTTTCGTGTATGCTCCCCCCGAAAAAAAAAGACGCCGAAGCTCCCAGGAAATATTTCTTTAAACCCCCCAAGAACCCGGAAATGCGATATAGTAAAACGCAATAGACAAAAAAAAAAGCCAAAGCCCATCAACTAACACCAGAAAGCCGAAGCTCAACACACATCAGGCGCAGAAACGAGACGCATGCGCCACTCCCATGCACCTCTTTCTCTCTCTCATACACACATTTTCTCTTTCTCACATTCTCCACTCTCGCACATCTCTCTCCCTCCCTCTCTCTCTCAATCCCCTCCCCTAATAAACCTCCCCACCCTCCTCTTTAGGCTTATACATAATCGTTGTCAAAAACTTCTGCTTATACCTCGTCGTCGCACTCGTCGCCAGAATATTATCTTTAATACTACTCGTCGCCAAATGATTTAAAACAGTATGATTCGGATGAATCAACACACTACTATCATCCTTCATCGGCGTCGTCCCATTCAGAATACTCTTGCCCAAAAACCCGGGTAAAGTAGGTGGCGTAGGTAAGTTATTCGTCATGGCGTTGCTGCGGGCGTAGCGCGAGGATTCTTCGGGAGCGTCCAGGTCGAGAAGGTAGCGGGGTATGTTTTGGTGGTATTTCTTGGTTGGCTCGGGGACTGGGGGTTTGGAATCGATGGGGGGCGCGGTGACGGTTGGGACGGGATTTGTGGTTGTGGGGTCAGCGGTTGCGTTGAGGGGTGGGGTTGGTGGTAGGACTTGGGGCGGGTACATGCCAACAGGGGCTTCGCGTTCTTGGACAGGTGTTATAGAGTCATCCAGAGGGTCGTTTATCGCCGCGGTGGCGGCTGGCGGGCTGGCGGGGAGGGGTGTGAGTTCTGGGTAGGGGACTTCGATGTAGTTTACGAGGATGTTGGTGTAGTCTACGGCAGTGGGAAGTTTGTCGGATGTTCGCATGTCGTTGTCGACGAGGAAGGTAAGGTGGTGAGTTCCTGGGGTGACGGAGACGTAGGCGGAGAGGGCATCTTTCTTCTTGCTGGGTCCGCTATAGAGTGTCAGTATTGCCGGTGTGCAGTGTAACCTCGAAAGAGGCAGTCGTCGAATATAGTCCAAGCCTGCTGGGAATGATTGACCGAGTCTCAGCCCGAGTAGAGCTAGGAAGCCACCAAACGGGAGAGTGCAGGCAACGGGTAGGTGCAGGCAGATGCAGGCAGAGAGAACGAAAAACGTGGTTCCACCTCTCCAACCCACCATCCCCTGCATCTACCCGTGCGGCTGATGCAGGCAAAGTCCATACTCCGAGACATTCCAAGGAAACCGGTACCACTTACTTGCGATGCAACTTGTACTTGCGATTCCAGCCCGCAAAAGTTCCCGTAACATATACACGCTCCCCAGGACCTTCCCACTATTTTCCCCCAAACGTCAGCATAAATCTCTTTAAACACCACCACCACCACCACCACCACTCTAAGCAGAATCGGGAGAGAGATTCAACATACCTCAATCAACGTAGGAACCGTAGGCCTCCCCTCACTGCCTTTAAACTCCTCACCCAAATCCCCATCCTCGTCTTCCCCAGCCGTCGTACTGCTCACCATGGAACTGCGCCTCGGCAGCATACCATCGGCATCGCTCTCGTGCACCGGTGTCCATATTTCACTAACCCCGTTGAATCCACTGAGCTCCTGCGGCGCTATGATTGGGCTGCCTGGCGTGTGCACTTCCTCCTCGATGGGCAAGGGCAGGCGCGGTGGGCGGGAGAACTGTGAGGCCGAGGCTGGAATGAGGTAATCGGCTGTTATGGAGGCGGAGGTTGGTGATGGGAGGTCCGAGGGAGACGAGGCGCGGGGGTCTGGATGCGAGGCAGACGAAGGGACATCGACGGGGAGGGTAGGCGACGGCGGGCGTGCGGAGACTTCGGGTGCAGCTTCAGCTTCAGCTTCGCCGGCTTGTTGTTGCTGGGCTGCGGTATCAGGTATAATGGCAGCGGCGGCAGGCTGTGACGGCGGGGTGGTGTTCGCATCGCGGGGCGAGACATGGTGCTTGTCTTTATCCCTGTGGCTGTGCGCGCCGCCCTTCTGGCTGCTCTGCTCGTTCCCCATATTATCTCCAGTTCGGGTGCTGTGGGTGGTGTTGTACAGGTCCTGAGCAGCGCGCAGCTGTGTGGTGACGGCTTTGGTGCTAGTCCCTACCGTTTGCGCCCTCCCACGCGAAATGGGGCGGGCCGACGTGGGATGGCTCTCAGCGTTCTCGAGGCTCACGCTGGGAGCTGCAGGCGCTTTGGCTGCACTCAGTGCCTGGATGGATTCGCGGCGGCGGGCCGAGTGGTGCTGGCTGTGTGGGGGGTGGAGATGGGGGAGGTGGTGGTGGTGGTTATGCGGTCGGTCATGGCCATGTGATGCAGTCACGTTGTTGTGGTGGTGGTTGCCCGCGGCATTGTTGGTGGGCGATTGCGGGTTCGACGTGGGCGTCGTCGACCGCGAATTCTGGTTCCCCATCACAGGCACGATGAGTGCATGGGTAGATCACGACAGATAGAGGTCAGAGAGCGTGCCACCCAGGTGTCAAGCTATTACTAGGCCGGCCTACTTGGATGGAGCTGCAGCGGCACACAGGGGTCAAGATTTCCATGCCAGTCAATCGCCGATAGCCTCCAACCCGCACGAGCCAATGACACCCATCGTGGGGCGAGTCGGCCCTGTCCAGCGTCGCCTTAGCATCCCACAACCACACCGACACATCGACGCGTCGGCCGCCATGGACGCGCGAACGGTCCTCGACATTGCCACGCGTGTCTCAGTTGCATTGGCACGCGTGATCTGGTTTCCCATCAGTAAAGCCATCAATTTAGTCATCATACTGTTGCTGCCATTCTACAACGTCATCACTTTCTTCCTACTGCCATTCATCCACCTTGGACAGGCAATTGTCAGAGTGCTGTCCATACCATTCAGCGTCAAGTGGTTGGAGAGAATAGAGGTACTCAGTTTGTCATTTCCTCCATATATTGATACTGATTACACAGACACTATACGTCTACCTTGGAACAGCCAGCCTCATAGGATGCATCACCGGCGCCGTCCTCTTCGTTGTCTTTAGGTTTCTGTCGTCAACTCTCAAGATCGATATACCCGTTGTTCCTAGGGAGCCTGAAAAGGGAAGAACAGCCGCGGAGTACAGAGCTGCGCGACGTGTGAAGAAGGAGGATTCCATCGACCATTCACCCAGTGCAACCCCTGTAGTGTTGAAAAAGGTGGCTGGGCCTTGCAGGCGAGGTCTGCTCTCGCAAGCCATCATCGAAGAGGAGGATTCAGACTTTTGAACACTGTCAACGCGGATCGACGGCGTTATTAGACATGTTCATATCAGACACCAGGGTAGAATGTCCGGAATCTCTCCAATGCGATTCTGTTTGTGAACTGGGTCCGCAATGTGATGGTGTCGCCGTTTGACTCAGGCCGAAATCGAACTTGTTTGTGGTTTTTGTGCCATCATCATCTTTTGCATCGATCGATAGCAGATCTAAGTCGGTTGGTGTGAGCAAGGTTGGTTTCTTTCGTAGAGGTTCCGTTTGTGGTTGCAAAGGTATTCCGGGTTGTTGACTGCCACTTTGCCGGCTTTGCGGACTGGAATCAGTTATTACACGATCTAATTGCTGGTTGCATTTTTGGGTGAGACTTACGCCGGGGTGGCACCTTCGTTCTCATCAGTACCGACGATGGTAAGCCAGTGAAAGACTATGGCAGCCCACGTGACTGTCATGTTTGCATCAGCAGGGTTCGGTGGCTGATAGCAGCGAACATACCATCAAAAGTGCACAAAGTGAGGCAGATCTAGGAACAAGATGTTAGATTGGGATGCCTCGTTTGGGTCTTCGAGGTCTGGACTTACAAAAGCTAATTCTTTCCCAACCAGGATGCAGATAGCCGCAAGGTTACCGCCAGTGGGAAGAATGACCAAGACACATCCAATCAAAGTCTTCTGGAGTAGAGTTTCGACTCTCTTGACGAGCGCTTTGTTCGATCGATGAAGGTCCATGGTGGCTTTCTGCTGTACTCGACCCAAAGTCTTGCTGATGCACAGTGTCACCCGGTTTACAACACCAGTACCGGAACTTGTATCATCCTTGACCAGAGGGCTCAGAAGATAGATGAAGACGGTTGTAAGGTAAAGGATGATGACAATGTCGCACGTCAACAGCGGGATGGCTGCGTAACGCTGGAGACCTATACGACAGCGTCCATCCACCCCTGAAAGCACGTACTTGGGTGAGACAATGCCGGCGATACAAATGGCACCCAGACACACAACGATGGCGATGGTGCTGAGCAACCACAATAAGTCTTTATATCGGGGTGCGTAAGGAGCTCGTAGTATGTGAGCCCGCTCGACGAGGAAGAGATACCTGTGAGTCGTAAATGTGAGCAAAAGCCGAAGTGATAGCCAGATGATTTGCACGGGCTATCCACTGACATCGATACTTTGCTGGCTGCATAGAACATGAGACATAGCATTACCGAAGCTTTGTAGCTGCCATCCGTGGTAAGACCGAGGCCATTGTTGACGACCGCGGCAGAGAAGACGAATCCGATAGAAAAGGTATAGAGGGCAAAGATGTAGATCTGTGTCAACGTAAGGCGATTCGCCGACTTGCTTAGGAGGTGTATGCAATGCCCTACTCGTGGTGGTTAATAGATGTCTAGAGAAGATGCATTCTGAAGTGAGACGAACCGACCAGCCCCGACAGCACACATATACAGAGTTTCGACAATACGACATAGATTGTGCGGTCGCCTATGGGCTCGCCATAGACAACTGGGCTTTTCCGTGGTAACGATAATTCAACCGAGATCGGTGCTGGAGAGACGACCGCCGCAAAGCATGTCCACACCCTCGCGATGGTGGTCATTGGGGTCGGGCGTTATGTTGGTGCGCTAACAAAGTAAGGTTTAGGTAGAGTGAAGCATAGCTGGTAGGTATCGATAAGTCCGCGGGCTGTCCAAAGTAAAGAATTGGGTGAGGTGAGAGAATTAGAGGTATCGCGCCTTCGTACTGCGATTGCTTCCGGATGAGATTGGCGCGCTCGACCGCTCCTTCCCTCGCATGCCGCAGGGCAAGAACTACGATAAGAAGAACAACCAACTCACCGTAGTCACACGTCAGTGAAGAAGAAGAAAGAAAGACTCTTTTACCAGAACAATCACGCTTTAGTGTGCTTTCGATCAGTTGCATTCAAGATGAGCATTTTCCTGGTACACCGTCTGTCAAAATGGTTCCTGCAGTAGTTCGATAGCTCGAAGGTACAACGCTATGTGATATCAGGAAGGCGACACTAAAAAAAAAGGGCCTCAGAGTTCTAGCAAACATCAGAAAAGAGCTTTTCTACAAAGCGTTTGGTGGGCACCTACGCAACATATCAATTCTCCAATTACAGTTGTTTACCACGGCTGACAATTATGAGGTTACTTAGATGTCCCTGCTTCGCTTTGCTTCTGCAACGCCTCCATGATCTCCTCAATGGGCCTGGCTGAAGCTGTCTGGAGGACGTTGCCAAAGTCAGCGCCCTTGTCTAGTAGCAGCGCTACTATCTCTTTGTGGCCAAAACACGCAGCTGCATGGAGTGCGCTCTTATAAAATCCACCGTACATGTTAACGTCAGCGCCCTTATCCAGTAACAGCGCGACGACCTCTTTGCAGCTACTGCGTGAAGCCGAAGCCGCCTGAAGTGCGCTATTATACCGTCCATCTCGCGCATTAATGTCAGCGCCCTGGTCTAGTAGTAGCGCCACGGTTTCCTTATAGCCATAAAACGAAGCCGCCTGGAGTGCGTCGCCGTAATATCCACCCCGCGCATTGATTTCAGCGCCCTTCTCTAGTAGTATTGCCACTATGTCTTTGTGGCCGCGAGCTGAAGCTGCCTGGAGTGCGTTTCCATAGTGTCCACCCCGCGCATTGACATCAGCGCCCCTGTCTAACAGCAGCACTACAACATCTATTGTGCCTTTCTCTGAGGCTATACAGAGTGCGTTCTCGCCCTCAAATCGCGCGTCAAGATTAGCGCCATTATCCAGTAAGAGCGCCACGACATCGCTGAAGCCTTGCGATGGAGCTTCATATAATGCTGCGGGCCATCGCCTGTACGCGCGAGCATCAGCGCCCTTATCTAGCAGCACTTTGACTACGCCTAGATGTGAATGTTGTACTGCAATACGCAGTAAGTCGTTGTAGCTGAGAGGATCCTTGAAGTTGATCGGAGCAGGCGCTATAGCAAGTAATAACTTTATCGATATCTCACAGCCCCTTTTGCAAGCTAACAGCAGGAGTCGTCTCATTGTCGGATCGTCTGCATTGATTGGAAATCTCCCCGATGTGATCAAACGCGCAAATATTCCATCATGCCCAAGCTCTGCCGCATTCCAAAGAAAAGGTCTTGATTTTGAGTAAACAAAGTCACGTTTTGCGGCGCGCTGGTCTGCCTGATGCCTGGAATGCTGTTTGCCCATTGTTTCAACAAGGCTGCTATTGGCTTTTAGCACCTCATTGGATTCTAGGAACACTTCCACGACCTCCTCACTGCTCATAGCAGCTGCGGCGAAAAGAGGACACCCGTAGCGCTCAGCCATAATGTCGATACAACAGCTGGCTGAACCGAGGACTTTGATCAGATTTGCCATATTCAGCTCGGCTAGTATATAAAGCAGGTTAACGCCTTGCGTGTGTCTACGCACCTCGTGTTTCTCAAGTAGGTTACCGAGCTTGACCCATCGACGAAGTGGGAAGCTGTTCAGGAACTCGACTTGAGAGATGCCTCCGCCTTCTGCTATGTTCGCATGATACAAAACATTTTGGATGGCATATTCTAGAAAGGAAAATGTCTCAACTGCCGACTTGCGTAGGTTCGCTGACTCTGGTAAGGATGCTTTTGGTAGGTATTCGGGTAGCTCCAAAGATGCGGCAATGTCGAAGCCGATGTAGTTAAAACAGCACTGCTTCAGTCGCTCGTGGCTCAGGCCTTGAAAATTGTTCCCAAGCTCAGGCCAGATCTTGCTGAGTCCATTCTCCTTGAGCAGGAAGTCTCGTACCGACTCGTGTATGAACTGGACTTTTATGTTTTTGGTTTTGGTAACCTCAGTAAGACCCTTGGACGATCTAAGCAAAAACTTTCTAGTTGTTTCAAGTGTGACTTCCTGATCATGCTGAGTGGCGAGTGCATCAGGCTCAGTTCCGGCAAGGATCGCAAGATACAGCTGCTCCGGTTGCAATGATTCTTTAGCAAAGAGCACCCACTGTAAGCACAGTATTAGTTCTTCTTTATCGTTCGAGTCGCGTGTGAGTATATCCTGAAACAGGGCGTGTAAATCGGCGGGGATTTGCTTCAATCTTCGCTCCAGAGCATGCATACGTCCGCCATCATACTCTTCATTCAGGATGTCCACCACAAGCACAATCCACATGAACACACCGGAACTCTTCTCTTGCAGATCCTTTCGGATCTTTTGTGCTGATGCGCTGGTCCCTATCCTCAACGCACTCTCAAGGTAGTTGTTGATGTCCTGGGTATGGCCTTCTTGTCCTTCGAGCACTAAGCTGATGCCTCTCCGAATTGTGACTTCAGGATAATGCCTACTTGAAAGACAGACTCGAAAAGACCTACCGGATGAGACTGCGAGCTCGCCAAGGTTTTCGAAGAACGAAATCATGCTCCGAACCTGCCATTGTTCACACTCGTCAAGCGCATCGATGAAGCAAATCACGGGCGTGTCTCCAAGACTCAACACAGCCTGCTGGAGCTGGTCTTCGAGCGAGTGCCTAGTCCACTGATAATCTGCGCTGATACTCGAGGGTACCAAACTCAGCGAACCGGAATTGCACTGTAGAGTAGGAATCTTCTCAAGAAGCTGCAGCAAAAGCGACCTATACATCCCAATGATAGTCTTCTCGAGAGTCTCGCCTCGCGCGTTGAAGAAGAAGGCGATCACAATGTTGCTCTTCCTTGATTTGCTGGCCTGGCCGAAAGCAAATTTCATCAATGTTGACTTCCCGGTTCCTGGTTTTCCTTTTATCCACAAGAAGCCGTGATGGCTGGACAGTCTTGTCGGGTCGAGCCATTCAGTATGCTCCGACTTTCGCAACAACCACTTACATGTCTTGGCATGGGCGTTTTTGATCGTAGCGTAGCGTGCGTCAATTTGATCGAATCGCAGCGACTCCATAAGCGCTTGCCTCTTCCCTCCGTCCGAGGACGAAACTTGATCCTGTGTAATCTCCCTTATTTCTTTCCGAAGCCTCCTAAATGCCGCTGCCTGCTGTTCTCCGTATATCGGTGCCATGCTGACGCCAAATATTCCAAGCAGTGAGTATGCACCGTCTTCTTCCTTCTTTGTGATACGAGTCGCAGCCCAAGACATGCGGTCATCGACAGAAAAGCTGTGCAGGGGGGCTCCTCGAACGGCAGAGATGGGAATGCGAGTGACGTCGTGGATATCTTGCTCTAGGCTGAACTTGTCACCAAGCAGCTTTCCATCGCGAGAGAAGAAGAGGACAATACGAGGGGCGAGCAGTTCTTGGAGTGTCCAACCTCGAGTGAACCATCTGCTGTTCCGGAAAGCCGACATCCAAGTGACAGTGGGCGTTTCGTGTTCAGGCGATTCTCGGCCGCATCGTCTCTTTTTCGTCGTAACATCTGCTAGGTACACGTAGCATGTGGCAGAATTCTTGTACCAACGGAACATGGATGTGATAGCCTCTGAGAGCTCTGCGCTGCTTGACTTGTCGATGCAGCAAGTATCGACCCAGAAGTGCTCAAGACCGTCTTTGGCAGCCTGCTCAGCACAGAACTTTAACTTGGCATAACCGCTTTTCTCTCTCCCTGTCTCATTGCGCAAGTCGTCATAACTTACTTCATCCTCGTTATTTTCACTCCAAGTGTGCGACAGTATCGCATACGGCGGCCTGGACGTGTTTTCATGACTGACAAGGCTGAAGCTGCCGTTGGCCTGTATCTGCAAAAGCCGCATCGAGAGGCATTCGAAGCAGGCGGTAGGTCGAGGATTGAGATGTATATCAAAGCGTTCTTGTATCACTTTACGACAGAGAGAGGAACAGGCACTGTAATGTGTGTTGTCGAAGGAAGGCTGAAGCGCGCGAGCTGAGGGTATGAGGCGGACAGGCAGAGTGGCTTAGACCACGAGGGGTCTGACCGCTCGTGCATATTGCGGGCGCAAGTGACCTGATATGTGCATCGCTGCTGCACGTCAGTACGTTGATTCTACGACGGCGCATGAGTTGTACGAAAATTTTTGATTGTAGAATTCTCAGTGTGTTCAAGGCGTTGATGTCGTTCTAGCAATACCACCGATGGGGTGGGGGCATCTCTGGTGCACAGGCAAGTGCCGTGTGCCAAGCGATGGGCTGCGCCACATGAGGCGCCTTCGGCTTCATTTCTTGTCCACTGCCTAACAAACGATGATCAAAGCACCTCGCTATGCGTCTGGATCGTCAAATTGCAATCAGCATAATTTTGCTGAGTCAATCTTCATCATTGTTTCAAGCTTCATACCCCCAGCATTCTTGCAAACAGCCAACGATACCACAGGCGGGTGAGCGGCACGGTACTGTACCGGATGGCTTGGGGAGAAAACAAATCAGTAACGTAGTTTACAAGCGAGCGGGCCATACAAGCGGGCGGGCCACCCTACTAACTTTGCGCACCTCTTGCACTTTTATTAACTATAGCTCTACTAAATTAAGCTAAAAACGTTTTCTGTAAGGCTAATATATAACTAGCAATTTTAGCTGTTAGTTAAGGCTAGATCTAGTCTTATAGAGGTGCTGCGCGGACGTACAAAGTCTCTTAAACAACGCTTAAGCGCTAGCGCGCTAGTGTACCTACCTAACCTAATTACTAGCCTAATTTAAGGAAGCTTACCTAGAGAGAAGAGAAGGTAATTGTTAGGTATATACTTAACTTAGATGCACGTGGATTTGCGCCTACGTATGCTGCTGTATGTAATATAGCTAATAAGTGTTACAAGCAACAAAAGGAACTCCACCCTTGATGAAGGAGTCGGCACAGAACGCCAGCCGGCGACCACGTCAGAAGGTAATGATCAACGCGGGGCGCTGATCACGTGATGTGGCCTCCCGCCAAG